GCGTTTCTTCGTCAATAGGAGAAACATATCGATCACTGTGCGCGATCGAATCCGTCGAGTATAAGTAGAGCGATTATGGGTTGCGTCTCCTCGAAACGAGCGCGCGTAAATGCGATTCGTTCGACGGTCACCGGCTATAGGAGTGCCCAATCTCGACCGTAAGACTCGACGAATCTCGAGCGATGCGGTCGGGAGGGTGCGCAGACACGGCCCTCTACTATCGAACACGATACGTTGCATCATTTGCGGCCCCTCCAACTGCGGTAAAACGAACGTGTTGATAAGCATGCTCGAAAGTCCGCACGGCGCTTCGAGAATGTGTACGTTTACTCGAAATCCCTGCAACAATCGAAGTATCGATACCTGGTGGAGCTGCTCGAGTCGATAGACGAGATCGGCTATCGCGCGTTCTTAAACAATAGCGACGTCGTGCCACCGAGCGAGGCGCTTCCCGATTCGATATTCGATATTCGACGACGTGGCCTGTGACAAGCAAAATGCGATTAGGGAATATTTCGCCATGGATCGACACTCGATTATTTCTATCTTTGTCAGACATACGCTAAAATTCCGAAACATCTGATACGCGACAACGCGAATCTCTTGATTCTGTTTAAGCAGGATGGCACTAACCTAAAGCACGTTTACAACGAGCACGTGAATACGAATATGTCATACGAGAATTTTTATGCCTTGTGTTTGGAAACGCAAATACGGTTTCGTAGTCATCGATAAGGACAGCGTGTTAAGGAACGGTAGATACAGACGAGGATTTAACGATTTCGCCGTGGTGTAGAGCGATCAGTTGTGTGACGAGGATGGATATCAACGCTGCTGCGAGTATAGACGTCGCTCGGCGGGAAAAAACGACACGAGAGATCGCGAAGATTCAGAATTCTATACGTAAAAAGTACAGAGAGTTAAAGACCGGTGAGATAGAAGAGGAGATCGCGTTGGAGAGGCGACTCAAGCCGATCGTTCAGTCGTTGAAACGAATCGCCGAGAACACCGCGCGAAACGAGTCGACCGAGAGAATCGACTCGATTGCATTTGTCGACGTTAAGAGGAAAACGCGAGACTGACGATGACGAGCTGCCATCGAGACCGACGAAGAGATGCCTCTCGACGAGATCGCCATTGATTGCGACAGTGAGTTCCGCGACTAGAAACGAATCGGAGAAATTAATCTCGAACGCGCAATGGGAACCGTTAAATCGCAAATATATGGGCGCGCTTCTAAGTGGGGACAGACAGAGTGAGATCGATCACGTTTACGGGGTGTACTTCGACTTGGATGGCTCGATGGCTTGGCGACAGGCGATTCGACGTGGCCGCCGACGACAGCGTGATCGTGGGCGACACGCGATAGCCGGGTACCCCGGGCTTATACGAATTGATCTTCAAGAGACTTCCCGACGACGCCATATATACGGAAAACGACAAGCAAACGTACAAGAGTATATAGTACAATAGTGTTGACTACGAACGCCTATCGGCGTGGTCACAACTTGCTTACTGTTCATTCTAGGAAACAAAGGTTACAAATACAAGCATATTAAGCATATCGAGCTATTGCTCGATAGAGACAAAAGTGACGCTGGTACTGGTAAAGCGAGAAAAAAAGGGATCGACTCTGTTTCATCCGCTATACGGGTGAGAGACAAAGGAATCGAGTACGTTTACTGGGACGATCCAACGAGCTAGTCGATCGATTGCTCGATGCCTCTCGACGCAATGGTCACAATGACAATGAGATTCTATCAATACTCGAGGAACTTCGCGAGATCGACGCGATCGAGTAAAACGCGGCGCGCGCTCGCGGAGACCCGAGGTATTCCCGTTATGTTGGTGAACAAATTCGGAAGACCAGTTAGAGTCGTTCGGCGGAAGCGACAGGGCACGCTCGCGACTGTCGATCGATTCCTTGCGTCGCTATGTGCGTAACAACGCGCTTTGTCTAAGTGACGATTATTACGACGCGAGAGATAGAATCATACGGCGTTTAGCCGCACCTAGAACCGATACCGACGCCGCGAGGAAAAGCTACGTGGACAGCGCGTTTCGAGACGCGGAAACGAGAATCTCCGAGACGAGCGAACTCTCGGCGAGCACTCGAACGTTGCTCGGAGATGAACGAGAGCACGGCCAGATCGATCGGCGAATTAGAGGAATCTATAGCGCGCGTAGCCAGATTGTTTCTCAAATACGCAGATTGTTGAGGTTACAAGCAGATTCGTCACCCGCGAGGGCATGATGTCCGTGAACAAATTCGGGAAGTCTCTAGAGAGGCAGCGCGGCGTTGACGATCATTCGACGATCGCATCCCTGTGGGCGTACGTGCGTTGCAGTGCGCTCTGCCTGAATCTGGACGACTATGATGTCAACAGACGCAAGATATGCCATTTGGATACGCCGATCGATGCCGACGCGACGACCAAGAGTTATGTCGACGACACGCTTCGCGTAAGGAGCGAGGAGTTGAAAGTTCTAACGAACGAGTTACGAAAACAGCTGAAAGATATGAACAAGCGAATTCGGAATATTCTGCTACAGTATTACAACGTAAAAACCGAAGTGGACGTTCTGTGACACTTCGAGAAGAAGAGAGAGGCCTCGCTCGTCGATCACGACAAACGAATAGAGGAGACCAGAAACGCGATGGAACGAGAACTCAAGAAACGGGACGAATCGCGAGAGAAAGATCTGATCGAAATTCGAAGGGTCATTGAGACGCTCGGTGACGCTCAGGAGAAACGAACGCGAAATCTAAAGGAATCACTGCGACAGATCGAGGAGAGGAGGGAGGCCTCGCTCGTCGATCTCGATAAACGAATAAGGGAAATGGAATAAGCGCTCGTTAAACGGAACAACCAACGAATTAAAGACCTGTCTATGTTTCAACGTACGCTAGGACCGGGGAAAAATAGGACAAACTGCGAGCTAGAGATTCGAGCGAGATCCGAAAGACCATCGAGACGCTCGGCGACACTCAGGAGAAACGAACGCAAATCCTAGAGGAATCACTGCGAAATCTAGAGAAATCCCTGCGAAACGAGCTCGACGACGAGCCGTGAGAGAATATCGACGAACGTGGAGAATCTCGCGCGTAGCGTGACAGATCTGACGAAGATCGCAAGAGAATTAACAAAGCGGTAACAAGAGAGACGCTGGACAAGACGTTGGCCGTTAAACATGAATAAAATAGTGACTAGAGAAATGATAAACGAATTACTAGTCGCACTAAAAATGGATATTCCAAATACCATGAAACACGCGATTAACGAGCGATTTGGAACGAGGAACAGGAGCGAATGCGCGAAGCAACGAGCACAAATAAACCAACGCGAATCGCGCCTCCTCATAAATCAGCGATGAGCGTCGAGAAGAGAAAACTCGTCGAGGAGCTTCACGCGCCCACGCGAAGAAACTTTCCACGTCATCGAGTCGTGGTGCGCGGTTACGATGACCTGTGGCAGGCCGATATCATCGAGATGCGTTCATACGCGCGACAAAACAAAGGCTATAATTACGTGATAACGGTCATCGCCGTGTTTGTGAGCAAGTATGCGTGGGTTGTGCCGCTGAAGAGCAAGAGCGGAAGCGAGGTAGCCGCGGCGTTGTCCAAGATATTTCGCGACGACTCTCGACATTCGCGAAATCTACAAACGGACAAGGGCAAGAAATTCTACAAAAGCGGTTACTGATAGTACGATATACGTCACTACTCGACATACTCGATGATGAAAGCGGTGGTTGTGGAGCGATTTAATCGCACGCTCAAGAACAACATGTGGAAGCTCTTTACGCTCAACGGATCATACAGATGGCTCGACGCTCTACCGCGTTTAATCTCGGAGTATATAACAAGTATATAACAACCGCGCGCATCGAACGATCGGAATGCGACCGGCGGACGTAACTCCCGCCATTGCCAAGAGACTCCTCTCCACAGTATACAGTCATTTGAAGATCGCAGCCCCCATAAGATTCAAGATGAATGATCTGGTACGCATTAGCAAATTCAAAACGATTTTCGAGAAGGGATATACGCCTAACTAGACGACCGAGATTTTTCGAATCGCTAAGGTGTAATGCACGAATCCCGTGACGTATCTGCTGAAAGACTATCGTAAAGAGCCAATAGCCGGAGGATTTTATGAACGCGAGTTTCCAATTCCGATATCTATCTCGTAGAGGAAGTGCTACGTAGAAAGAACGATAGAGTTTTCGTCAAATGGTTAGAAATGGACAATACACACAACTCTTGGATTCATAAAACGGCTGTATTGTAATGAATAAAGAGTGTACAGTATTACTTATTCTACATTGGTAAAAGTTTTATACTACATTAGTATCTAATAACAGTATCTTATAATGATCCCATGGCAATGTATCGGTGGAAGATATTAAGTACCGCTTGTCGTCGTGAGAACTCAAAGCTAGCTTTAGTTCGGATACAGTGTAAACCTCGTGCAGTATAGAGTGTACGCACGCTTGACGTCTCGATTGCTGCGATGATTCGTTCAAGCAATGCGCGAAATCCTCAAACGTTATCGTTTTCGCGACGGTACTCCTCTTGACGCCCATTATTCTCTTCGTATCGCTCTTTCCCAGAACTCTCAGAGTGTACATTTTCGCCCTGAGTCCTACAAACTCCGTCATGAACGCTCCGTTGTTCTCGTCTTTCATCAAATCGAGAACCTTCTTGTTCGCACGCGATATATCGTACGCATTGTCGTCGGAATAATCGCTGGTGTCGAATCTCGCGATATTTCGCTTCATATTCTCGTAAACGTTCCGGCATTCCAGAAAATATATCAAGCTATCGGTGTACATGATTTTGCATTTAGCGATAAAGCGGCATCATATAATCGTAATAAAAATCGTACAATCGCATCTTGGATATCTCTAAAATGCACATACCAACGTAAATTGATTTGTTAAACTGAACCTCGAGTTTGCGCAACTCGACAGCCATGAGATTCTCATCGAAGACGCTCCTACTGTGAAAATTCGGTTTCACGATCAGTGCCATATCTTCCGTTCCAACGCGTCACGAGCCTTACGTCTACGTAATCGCGCACGTTCTCCATTGTCTTGCCGAAAACCGCGTTGTTCATCAGCTTATACAGATTCCTCTCGAACTCGTTGCTCGTGCGAGTTCTCCGTTCCGTATTGAGCTCGATGTACGCGCGCAGCCAAGGAGATTGCGCGAACCACAACGCGCGATAGACCTTCGTCACGCGTAAACCGTATCGCACGCACTGCTGAAGATTGCGATAGTGCGTCACGTAACACGACTTGTCGTAGAGCGTGGCAAGTAGTTTTTCGTTTCGATTTCCCGGCGGTCTCTCGCGCGTTGGGCAGAACGGAAGATCCGCGTGTTCGTCGTGAAGATATCGCGAATACTAGAGATCGACTTCTAGAATATAACCGATATCGGAGTCAGGTGGGACGGACATAATATCGAGGACTTTGACATCCTCAACCCACCGAAATTCTGCATACGGTAGGGTTCGCACATGGCCCAGCCATAGAGATTGTTCACATCGTAGTACATGAGATACGACGGTTGAGACGAGTCGTATGACGATTCATATTGGTTGTTAGCTCGCGCGTATCTGTTCGAGCATTGGCTCAAACCGCCGCGTATACCGCGCTCTACGAACATCACCATATCGATATTGATAAGTAGATCGAATCGAACGTTCGTGTATTTTAACATAGCGTCCCACGTGTAACCCGGTAATGTGAAATAATGCGCTGGATCCAAATCGTAACTTTCCATACAGGTATCCCGAAAATTTTCGAAAATATCCACCAAGCAGAAGCACATCCGTTTTCAAATATAAATCGCTGTACTCGCCGAGAGTTCTCACGCGAAAACGCTCCCATACTCTTCGCGCGTGTTCGTAATCGCTAACGCTCACAGTTTCGCCAGTTAAAGAACTGTGAAAGGCTTCGATCGGCGATAACTCGGTCTCTAACAGTTTATCAGCACTATCGATGTACTCATACGGAAATATGCCCTTGCGCGTGAACAACTCGAAATCCTCCGCGATGAGATCGGAAAATTCGAATCGCGAGATCCTCAATTTTTCTCGATCTAGATACGAAGCTACTTTTTCTAAACTGGTATTGAGAAACTTAAACGAATCCACGAAACGTAGCTTAACACAATTTTTCCATTTTCCGTACGCCGAATCGTTGACGATTTTCGAAAACGCGATGTAATTCTTCTTAGTCAATGGTAACAGATCGACTCTATCCTCGAAAGCGTGGCTACAGCTTTGATAATGAAATGCGCGTCGTAACCGAATAAATTGTGAAAAAAAACGGGAATAATAAACGCGTTCTGATAGTTCAAATTGCAGCTCGCGTGCGCGGGTCCTCTGTACCGTCCGGTAAGATGACAGTGATCGCGCACGCGAATATCGTACGATCCAAAGCTCCTTCCGCACACGTGACAATTTGTGGCCTTTTGAAAAGCGCTCCGTTTGTCCGGGGTGAGCTCCGACATCAGTACGCTCGCGCACAGAACCTTCCTCACGCGACACGCGAGAGCGCGCAGCTCCTCGACGAACCACCAAACGCAGTCGTCGCCTCGGCGAGATCTATACGCGGATATGATTCCGTTGTACGTGCTGTTGTAGCCAGATCTACAACTAATAATAAAAATAGTCCGCATGGCAACAAAATTAGTTCCGAATGAAATTCGGAAAAAGTGTTTCGAAAGACGACACAAAGGCGTGATCGCCAAAATTGCGATCAGTCTTTCGAAAGACCGCAGAAATGCATCGCGCGAGAATATTGCGAAAAGTCTATCAGCAAATTCCTCAATTTGCTGATCGAACCAGGCATGATTTTGAGCAATCAATATCACGCGATCAATCGACGCAACCGATCAGAATACTGATCGGGCATCGACCAGTTTATACAATCGATCATACAAGGCAGAGTCGAGAGAGTCAAATACTACGTGTCGTCCGAAATCGGACTTATAATAATCGCACGAGATATTACCGAATCTCGTAGCGAAGTTCCCGCGAGCCGTACTATCAACATCTCAGGTGACATATTCAGTCGTCGGCCGCCAGAGTAACGCGATACGCACCGAGTCACCCGACGACGTTTAACCGTGTGTAAAATATAATCGTTAATATATCAAGCATCTGTGCACTTGTGAGAATAAATCAAATAAATCAAATAAATCAAAATTAAAATAAAGAAAGTGTGTGTAAATGAATTCAAGAAGATCCCTACATTCTTTTGATCCTGCTCGGAGTCCCAACTCCTTAGGCTTAACGAACCCGACTATCCCTAATATTAACGTTGTAACCCATCCGGGGTATAACAGTGCTACGCAAATAATATCCCACGCTGAACGCCTTGTGGTGTTGATAGGTGAATCTATAGTCGAGATTCCCAGTGGTTGATCTCCTTTTTCTAAAATGCACTCCAGATCGGCATACATGACGAATCGTAGTCTCTCCTTTTTGTCGTGATTGCGAAAAGAGAGCAACTTGTCGTCCTCGCTCGAAAGAATAACGGCGCAATCGTTCGCTCTTCCACACTCGACACGACCAATTTCTCGTTCGAGTAAAAATAATGTAGACATCTGAAAAATACAATTTATAATTAATACAAAATTTATCTCGCGACGAACATAGTTTCTCTCTTACTCTTACCGGTCACATATGTATTTTTTTTCTTTATGCTTGTTTATTTGCGACGTTAACAGTCAAGACAGGTGCTTTATCCATAAGTGACCGACGTTATCACCGCGCCGCTCGTTCGACAGGTAGATCAAATTTACGTGCGTAGACTTCTTGTTTCCCGTGAGCAACAAGGGAACGATTATGATACCGTTCCTCTTCCTTTTCTCTCGAATGGCAAATACGTTGATAGACACATCGTTAAGACATTCCAACCTAGCGATGTTTCGTAGCGTCATAGGAAAGTCGATACCATCGAAATTCAGCATCAACGAATAGTGAGGATATGACGACGGTCTGTCCGAGTGTAGATCAACGAGATATAGAGCGGCCATTACCGCCCACGCGAAGCACGTGTTGTCGTTTGAATGTACGTTAATTACGGCTCTCTTATATCTTATCTTCAGAGGAAGTGCCATCCAACATCCAGCGTACATAGGATTACACTTGTTCACATTGATCATCAAATTTAATATCCGAAGTAACGCCCAACCGCTGTCATGTTTCTGAAATTCCAGCGACGTCAGAACAATATTCATAACATCTCCGTCGTATCATTTTCGTAGATCGGACATACCGTATAGCTAACGATTCCTCGTGAGAATGTTCTTAACAGCGCTCTTATTATTCGCGACGAAAAGAACTCCCCGTGAAACACGGTGTTGATCTTTAAACACTCGTGCATATCGAGATCGATTCGCACTTGCTCGAGCACCGTGGCCGTCGCGTCCTCGGGAAACCGTCAGGGTTCGACATACTCGATGTTTATCACAGCACCCGTTCGTATGCGATTCGCGAAGGCCGTCTCGATATCCACCCATTCGAATCCCTTCGAACCGTCGTATCCTGCGCCCAAGTAACCAAAACGTCAACTCAAAGCAAGTCTCGCACCCTCCAACTGCGCTATTCGAGAGATCAGAGAATTTATCGTTCCGGTAACCGTAGGATCGACTCTATTCTCACATCTATCTCTCAGACTTCGAGACACTCGATACACTCCCGTTACCAAACGCGATAGGCGCACATCCCTTCATCTCCCACTGCGCGCTCGAGAAGATTGCGACTCTTCTCCATATCGCAACTTCCCACACAGTGTTATCCCAACCGTCCGTAGGAACAACGAATTTAACGTGTCGCAATTTTTTCTCTCTCGCTGTTCTCTCGTAGATCACCGTTCTGTCGTTCAGAGCGAGCACCGTTTCGATCCACAGTTTCTCTCGCGGGCTCTCTGTATCGATTTCCCGTCGCAAGTGATACGTGGCCACGTTCCAGCGAACGTCTTCTCTCACCACGATCCACTCCTCATTGTTGCCAGGTGCGATAGTCTCGTGACACTCTAAACTATCGTCACTCTCGATAATCAACTCGCAACGATCGTCGTCGAGATCGCGATGCATCACGTTACGATCGAACGCGCGTAAAAGCGGATCGCTCTCACTCGAAGATGAGCCGCCGTTAAGCGCGACTTTTTCCATATACCACGATCTTAACAATGGAAAAAAAATGCCTCTCACGACTAGATATATGCTCCAAGGCAGCGTCGAAAAATCGCGACAACCGCGACATACTGAAATGACAAAACGCGCGGTATTCTACATAATCAGAACGCGCGCTTTCCCGTCGACGCGAAAACAGGACGCGCTAAACCCCGCGGAAAACGCCTAGACACACGCCTAAGGAGACGTAACAAACCGCAGCATCCTGCAAAACAGGACGCACTAGACCTCGCGGAAAACGCCCAGATGCGGGAAGCGCTAGACCCCGCGAAAAACGTTAAGGCGACATAACAAATCGCATCATCCTGCAAAACAGGACGCGCTAGACCCCGCGGAAAATGTTAAGGCAGCGTCGAAGACGCGCCCGGGGTTATGCGGGAGGCGCTAGACCCCGCGAAAAACGCTAGGGCGGCGTCGAAGACAGAAAGGACACACACGTCGCATCTCCCGTAGATAACGCCTAGGGGAAACCGACCCGGGGAAACCCCGCGATCGCCTTACCGACCGAGGAGGATAAACCTACCCCGACGACCGCCAGAGGGATCCATCTTCTCCTCCCCGGTTACGAACCCCCTGGGGAAAGAAAACCTTATCGACCCAGGAGGATACTCCTCCGTACAAACCCCCTAGGGATTCTACGACTATCCGCTCACCCCCCTTTTCGCCCCGTGGGGATTAGGATCCCCTTTGCTTATTTATTTCCAAGAATTAAAGGCGAAAGATCGAGTCGCTAATAACAGTAAGCTCTTAAATTTTAATCCCTTTCTCGACCAAGACGGTTTGATTCGAGTCGGAGGATAACTTCGTCACTCAAAGCTCCCGGACGAGGCGAAACATCCAATTATTCTCGGGCAACATTCTCTACTCTCACTTCTCATTCATCTCCGAACTCTTCATGCAGGTACGCAAATCATTTTCCGCGTACTTCGCGATGAATTTTGGATTCTCCGCGCTCGTCAAACGGTTAAATCAATACACGGGTGCGCGCGAGAGGATTGATAAGTCGCATGAACTCATGGGAAATCTGCTCGATATGCGCGGTCAGAAGAGTGCTCGTACATTCCTGCATTGCGGAGTGGATTATGCCAGACTCATTCTCGTTCGTCTCTCCGCGGGACGAGGATATAAAGCCCGAAAAGCGAACATTGCGCTATTTATATGTATGACTGTCCGAGCTATTCATTTAGAACTCGTCAGCGATTATTCTACAGATGCGTTCTTAGCCGCATATAGTCGATTCTGCGATCGCCGAGACATTCCGTCATGCCTATATTCAGATAATGCGAAAAACTTTCGAGGAGTCGATCAGGAACTTCGGAGCATGTGGAAGGCCACTCAATCCGATCCTTGCGTACTTAACAAGTTAGCTTTCGAATCGATACAATGGAAGTTTATTCCCCCGTCAGCTCCTCATTTCGAAGGACTATGGGAAGCTGGAGTGCGTAGCGTCAAATTTCACTTAAAACGGATTGTAAGAAATTACACTCTTACTTTCGAAGAAATGACCACGTTGCTTTGCAAAATAGAAGCCTGCTTAAATTCGCGTCCTCTTGCTCTGTTTTCGGGCGATTATGAAGACTATTCTGCTTTAATGCCTGCTCATTTTCTGATCGGCATCGTCTCCGATGTTTCTTGATGAGAAGGCTCCTATCTCGATGGCAATTGATTCAGCGATTGCAATCCGTTTTTTGGCGAAAATGGTCTAACGACTATTTACAAATTCTACATCAACGACCAAAATGGCGAACTGTACAAAATCTTGCGAAGATAGGACGCATTGTATTATTGCGAAATCCGCTCGCTCCTCCATGTCAATGGGAAGAATCATAGAATGCCATCCTGGCGCAAACGGACTAATTCGTCACCGTTAAAATTTTCTATCGATTCGTCATTTTCTGCATTCCGATCGTAATTTGTGACTTCTAATTGGCTTATGCGACTCTGTAACGCTCGCATGTTTTCTAATAACTCGGCCAATATTATGTCTCGTGTGTCGCACAAAGCTCCTGCCGGATCGGGTTTTCAATGCGGCTGACTTAAAGTGGTTCTCATTCTTTTTACTTCGTCTTCCAATTCTCTACTTATTACTTGTCGCTCTTCCGCGATCGGTTTTAATGGCGTACCTGGGGGCTGATTTGCCATTTCCTCCGGGTGTGCGATTCGTGGGGCGTATGGAATTCGGTTGGATCAAATATGCTATTATCGTAAGACGTTAGCGAAAATTCTCCGATTAGGATTACTTGCGTTCGAACCGTCACTATTGTCAGATCTTGCGTCTGTCGGTCGTAGTAGAGTGTCGTTGTGTTTCTCGTTACTCGGTAATATACTATTATCTATGTCACTAAGCGAGAACGCGTTTCAATTACAATATTCGGATATAACTCCGGTTGATTCGTTAAACTATCGTCGGAATAGTAATTGTTTAAATCGCGGCGTGCCTTATTGCGCGGATCGCGTGAATT